TAGAGCCCACTGAACAGTGGACAAAGTACCTTCTTATCTTCACAGCTACCTGTGAAGGTTAGCATCATCAGCCCCCACCCCGCCCCCACCACCACAATTTTAGAAATGAGGAAGGGTTGGCCAGGCACGGTGGCTCACACCTGTAATCCCAGCACTTTGGGAGGCCGAGGCAGGTGGATCACTTGAGGTCAGGAGTTTGAGACAAGCCTGGCCAACACAGTGAGACCCGTCTCTACTAAAAATACAAAAATCAGCTGGGTGTGGTGGCGGGCACCTGTAACCCCAGCTACTTGGGAGGCTGAGGCATGAGAATTGCTTGAACCCAGGAGGTGGAGTTTGCAGTGAGCTGAGATTGTGCACTCCAGCCTGGGTGACAGAGGAAGACTGTCTGGGGAAAAAAAAAAAAAAAAAAAGAAATGAGGAAGGCTGAAGAGAGAGGAAGTGACTTGTCCAAAGGCCATATAGTAAGTACATGGCAGGGCCAGGTGTAGTGGCTCACATCTGTAATTGTAGCACTTTGGGAGGCCAAGTCAGGAGGATCACTTGAGCCCAAGAGCTTGAGGCTGCAGTGAACCACGATTGCACCACTGTACTCCAGCCACAGTGACAGAGCGAGACCCTGTCTCTTAAAATAAGTCAATAAGTAGGTGGCAGGACTGTGCTGAGAACTGTGGTCTGCTTGTCTCCAAAAATACCTGCCTGTTCTGTATGTGCCATGCTGCTTTGGTGGGAAGTCATATAAGTGTGTTCCCTGTTCCTCAGAAGCATCTGCAAAGCACCTCTCATGTTACAGTCCAGCTTTCCCTGAGTGTCTTAGTACCGGGCTGTCATCCAAGTTCAAATGCTGGTGATAGAACTGACCAGGGCCAAAGGCCAGCCTCCCTTCTAATCAGGAATAATCAGCAATGAGTTTATCCTTCTCATCCCTCTGATCCTATTATTCCATTCTAGCACTCAAAGTAGGGCTTCTGGAGGCCCAAGGGCTGCTGCCACAGTGGATAGAGATGGGAGGTGGGGGCATACAACATGCTTCACTCCTTATAGGAAGCCCCCACCGTTCAGCCTTTTGTGTTTTTTGTTTTGTTTTGTTTTGTTTTTAAGAGACAAGGTCTTGCTCTGTCACCCAGGCTGGAGTGCAGGGTACAACCATAGCTCACTGCAGCCTCAAACTCCTGGGCTCAAGTGATCCTCCTGCCCCAGCTTCCTGAGTATCTATGACTAGGGGCACAGCCGCCATGCCTGGCTAATTTTAAAATTTTTAATAGAGATGGGGTCTTGCTATGTTGCCCAGGCTGGTCTTGAACTCCTGGCCTCAAATGATCCTCCCACCTCAGCCTCTCGAAGTGCTGGGATTACAGGCATAAGCTGCCATACCCAGCTGTTCAGCCCTTTTAAAATTTCCTACTGAAGGCTGAGCCATCTGTCCCTCCTGTCTACCTGCCCAGCTCAAGTTAGCTTAAGTAAGCTTTAAAGCACATCGAAATCCCTGGATTCCTTGCTATCCTCAAACCTCAAGCTAGTATCAGCTCCTGCACCTGCCTCCAAAGCAGGATGGGATTTCTTCAAAGTGTGTGATTTTTTCACAGGGGCGTGGTTTTGCCGGCTCCTGTCTCCTGTTTGCAAGGACAGAGGCAAATCCCCAGGTCGACAAGTGGGTGCTATGCCCGAACTGGCCTGCAGGGGGCAGTAACCACCAGATTTGACTGAGTTGATGCCCTGCTGAACAAATGGATGCCACACTTGGTCCTTTAAGACCAATGCTGGGCAGGGGAAGAGGGTGCTTTCTAGATGCTTGGCACGGTGCCAAGTCCTTTGCATGTATTATCTCATTAGCTCCTCACAAGAGCCCTGTGGGAGGTGCTATTAGAATCCCTATTTTATAAATGAAGAAACTGAAGCCGAGAAAGATCAACATGTCCTCTAGGCCACACGGTTACTAAGCAGCAGACAAGATTTTTTTTTTTTTTTTTTAAATAGAGACGAGGTCTCACTATGTTGTCCAGGCTGGTCTCGAACTCCTGGGCTTAATGATCTTCCCGCCTTGGCCTCCAAGGATTACAGATGTGAGCCACCATGCCTGGCTGGAGTGCAATGACATGATCTTGGCTCACTGCAGTCTCCGCCTCCTGGGTTCAAGGGATTCTCCTGCCTCAGCCTCCCGAGTAACGGGGACTGCAGGCACCTGCCACCACGCCCAGCTAACTTTTTTTCTTTTTTTTTTAGTAGAGACGAGGTTTCACCATGTTGGGCAGGCTGGCCTCGAACTCCTGACTTCAGGTGATCCACCTGCCTATGCCTCCCAAAGTTCTGGGATTACAGGCGTGAGCCACCACGCCCCGCCCCAAGCTCTTAGCCTCTACATCAGTGCTTCCCAACACCGGCTGCAGGTTAGAATTACCTGGGAGTACTAAGCAACACCAGTGTCCAGTGCCCATCAAAGACAGAATTAAGTCAGAATTTCTGGGGAAGCTCCCCAGTCATGCCAGTCTACAGCCAGCATTGAGAATCTCTGCTTTACACTGTGCTGTTTTGGCCTTTATATATATCCACCCATTCACACCTGGACCTTAACCTGAGCGTCCCTCTGAGGTCCCTAGTGAGCACTATTGTTTCAAAGGAGCCTACATATGGTCTATTCTCTAGATTTTGCCTGCAAGTCTTTCCTGATCCCCTAGACTCAGACAGATTCCCCTCATTCACATTCTCAGAGTTTTGGTGTTTTCCCTTCATAGCATTTATCTGAAATGTAATCAGACAACTGTGTCCCAGCTCTAATATCTCCTGTCTACCTGCTAGAACGTAAGCGTTCTGAAATCAGGAACTGTGTTTCTCTTATCCCCCCACAACGTTCCCAGAGCCAAGCACGGCACCTGACATTTCTCCATTGGACAAGTGATACTTCTTTCTTCCATGTAAATAATTACTGATCCAGTAGCTATTCGGTGTCTCACACTTTCCCATGTATGCTATATAAGCAAGCTAGGGAAGGCCCCATTTTCCAGTGGAGGAAACTGAAGTTCAGGAATGGGAGGCAGCCACCACCCAGTCAGAAGCTGTCAGTGCTGGGCGCCGGGGCTCCCGCCTGGAATCCCAGCACTTTGGGAGGCCAAGGCAGGTGGATCACCTGAGGTCAGGAGTTCAAGAGCAGACTGTCCAATGTGGCAAAACCCCGTCTCTACTATAAATACAAAAATTATCCAGGCATGATGGTGTGTGCCTGTAATCCCAGCTACTCAGGAGGCTGAGCCAGAAGAATCGCTTGAACCCAGGAGGCAGAGGTTGCAGTGAACCGAGATTGCGGCACTGCACTCCAGCCTGGGCAACAGAGCAAGACACTGTCATTAAAAAAAGAAAAAAAGATAAGCTGGCAGAGCCAGACTCAATCCTAGGCCTCCCTGTCCTTCCCATTCATCGGAGTCTGCCGGCCCCTGCTTGAGTCTGCCGACCCCTGCTTGAGTCTGCTTCCTTCATGCTGTTTCCAGGAGACACGCATCATCACCCTCTTTTCCGTTCTTTAGTCATCAATACCCGCCCCCCAGTCTCCTCCTCCTCCTCCATCTCCCCCTCCAGAGGTTTGGCCCAAACAAGGCTGCTGAGTAACTCCCCTGATTAAACCATTGCGTGGCTCTCAGCAGCCGCACTGGGGAGGTCAAGGAGTCATCCAGGGATCTCCTTCCCAGCTCCCTAGGAGTGAGCACCCTCTGGGCAGCGCCCCCACCCATCTTCCTAACAGGAGTTCTGAGCAGCCACCCCACACGGGACAAAAGTTCCTGGGAAAGGAGATTCTCCGGGCTGAAAACTGAGCTAGCGTGCAAGAATCGGCTGCATCGGGGGCCTGGGAGGAGTTCGGCTTCCAGTCTATCTCTGGTGCCCCCTGCTGGAGAAAGCTGGGCGCAGGAAACAGGGATACTTGCACTCGGGGAATCTGGCTGGGGCTGTAGGTCTCAAACAGGACATCTGAGGAGTGAGATGAATTCATATCAAAACCGACCCTGGAGGGACGAGGAAGAGCCAGTCACCTAAAAAGCTCCAGCTGTGTGACCTCGAAGAGCGCTTCGTAAAGGGCTTCTTCTCTGCTCGGCACCCCAAGGAAGCTGGGGAGAGGTCTTTGCTCCGGATGAGGCAGGGGGCGAGAAGGAGGAGGTTCAGAGACCTTTTGTTCATGCCCTCTCTGCCTGCGCTGCCTCCGTCGTGCTCCCCTCAGGGCCATCTCCTGGTTTCCTTTGGGTCGGAGATATTGCACACAGAGCAGAAGGATCTGATCTGACTGTTGGCTCATCTGCACTGCCGGCCCCCGAGCCTCGTCCCATTTCAGTGACAAGGCAAGTGTGAAAAATGGAGCATGATGGAGACGTCACCAGACCTCCCAGGCTCCGGACTGGAGCCGCAGCTCTCAATGCAGCTGGAATTGCCAGGGGCAGTGAGTGCTTGTCCAGCTTACTGCTCTTTGGAAGGGGCATACATCTCCCTGAGTGCTTGTGTGTGCATGCATGTGTGTGTGTGTGTGTTTGTGCGCATATGTGTGTGTGTGCATGCACGTGTGTGTGTGCGCGCATACAAGGCTGGGAGCTGTGTGGCAGGCACCCTGGCTTCGGGGACCCAAACTAGCCAGCTTCCCTTTCTGGGCCTGCTGGCCTAATTCCCAGCCGCAGCTGCCATTCTGGGCCCCCCTCCCTGAGGCCATCTCCCTGCAGATTTGGCAGCGGGGAAAGGAGGGGCCGAGAGAAGGGGAGAGAACCAGAGAGAGGACTGAGTGCTAATCTGATGTAGATGATCCGGCAGCCTTCTCCAGCTTGGCTGCCCTCTGCCATCAGCTCTCCAGGTGATTTTCCCTGTGCCCTGCACTCTCCCCTTCTGCTTTCATCTCCTTAAGAAAGTGCCCAGAGAGTTAAACCCACACACAAACACACACAATCCACCCAAAAAAAAAAAAAAAATCAGAGAGCAGGAGCAGGCAGACGAGTAAGAGAGCACGCGCGCAAGAAAGGGCTCACATCCGTCCTGGAGGAAGAACGGCACAGACGGAGGGAGGCTGGGGTTGGCAGAGACTGGGACAGAAGTCCCTCAGCCCCCCAAGAGCCTCCTTCATGGACCCGGGAATCCCCAGAGGGGCTGCCTCAACTTAGGATGGGCAACTGTGTCAAGTCTCCACTGAGAAATCTCTCAAGGAAGGTATGTTTCTGGAGTTTCCAAGATCTGGGGCTGGGGATTGGGGGTGTCTTACCATCTGTCCCAGAGGTTGGGGACAGAAAGGGTGGCTGGAGCTTGCTACCCTTCCCAGGGGTTCTGTCCAGGGCTGCCTCCCTGCTCCTACCCCGGACACCCTCCTGCTGCCGTTTTCTGTGTCCAGGCTTTGGGCATGGGGGTGAGGGTGAAACTGTGTTTGGGAATTTATACAAGGCTTGGGAAAGAAACTGTGTAACTTTGGGGTTTCTGGGGTGTAAAATGAAAAGGGTGGAACCTTAAGATGTCAGTGAACTTGACTGGCACCTTAGTCATTCAAGGGACTGGCCAAGTTCCTTAAAACTGGCGAAATCTGAAGACCCTTCCCAGCAGCAAGGCCAGGGACTCATTCATATCCTTTGAGGGTCTGTGAGCCTCTCTGATGACCTCTAAGCCTTCAGAATTGTGGATTTTGAAGTAGATCTCATTGCTGCTGAAAGGAACCAAACGGAGTATATCCCCTTCTGCCCCAGTGATTCTTGAGTTAAGTCAGAGCATCTCAAACAGGACCCGAGTGGTTTTAGGGCCCAGGAGTTTTTCCATTAAGAAGGAGGCTGCCTGGGCGATGTGTTGAGCAGGGGTTGTATATAAGTCACTTTCTGTAGTGGCTTTATCGCTCATACACTTGGAATTTTTTTTTTTTTTTTTTTGCAAAAATTCCTTTTAGAAAGAAAATGCATCTTTCGTGCAAGGCTGGGTTTGCACCTATAGGGTTTTGGGTTAGGTGGGCTCTGCCTATTTTTCTAGCCCTCTGTAGCCAGGCCATAGAAGAGACTCAGATATTATTTAAAGGAAGAGGGAATGATGGGGTGGTTTTCTTCCAATTCTTCCATTTTCCAGAAAAGGAACTTCATTGACATTCAGAGGGAGGGGTTAAGTGACTTACCTGTGGCCTCGGGTGAGCTATTGGCATCTCTATCCCCAACCCCATCCTATCTCGGTCAGTTTAACAGCCTCTCAATTTAGGACATTTTGGGCTTTTCTGCTTGTCGTCTTCCTCATTTGGCTAAGCTGCTCACATCAAATTCCTTCTAATCTTTGCTGCTCCTTGGATCCTTCCAAGGGCTTGTTGTTTCTTCTGTGCACGCCTCCCCCATAATCTGGTGTCTTCTTAGGGGAGCCTTCTGCATCGGAAGTGGCCTCCGCGCTGTTTCAGAGAAGCAGAAAGTGATCTGAATTAGCCCTTGTAATAGGTTCCATCCAGAGCCTGAGGAAGTGAACTTAAGAACAAGAATCATCCTTCTGTCCCCCCCCATCCTCCCTTACACAACAATGTGCTTAAGAGTCAGACTACACAGGCCTCCTCTTTCTGGCCATGTGACCTTAGACAAATTACTTAACCTCTCTGTTCCTCGATTCCCTTGTCCATCCATCAGTTGGGCATACTAATATCCACCTCTTAAGGTGATTCTGAAAATGAAATAAAGTTCTGTGCACAGTGGCTGGCCTATAATAGTCAATAAATGTTAGTATTGTTGTCATCATAATCATAATTGTTCCACTCTGGGTTTTAGAGAAGAAGGATGGAGGAGAAACAGGGAATAGGAGAGATTTTCAGTCCATAGAGTAAAAGAGAAAAAAAACTTACTGCATTCAATTTCATGTTTCTATCATATTCTTAATAATTGCTTTTTTTTTTTCTAAATATCTACAACATACCTAATGCCTGTTATCTCATTTTCTCTTTTCCACTACATAGTCATTTTGGCTATTTTATAGAGAAAGAAGCTGGACTCAGAGATAGAGCCTTCCTAAGGTTACACGGTCGATAGGAAGCAGAGCTGGGATTTAAACCCTAGTCTGTATAAAATCAGAGCTGGCATTTTATTTTTATGTTTTCCTCTACGAGAGGCTGCCTCTCTCTTTCCCCTGCTGTCAGAAATGTTATTCATAGATTTCTGGATCTGACCTTAGAAGTCATCTAGTCCAAATTCCCGCTCAGTGCATCAGTCCCCTCCCCGCTCACCAGGCTCTCCCTCATTCAGCTTCTCCTTGAAGACCTTCATTCAGCGAGAGGGAGCTTTGACGTGCATACTCTTGGCCAGCTTGTGTTATTAGAAAGCTGTCAGGTCATGAGGCACGCTTGCCCCTCCTGTTGCTATGCCACACTTAGGAGACGTCACCTTGGTGCCAGGAGAAATTGTCTGTCCATGGGCCGCTGCCCACTTGGCTTCCTGAGCCGTATTTGGGGAACTGGAAATGGTGAGAGGCAGCCTGCACCAGGCTCAGAGCTGGGCAGGACCAGGCTGTCAGGTGCCATCATTGGCCAGAGATGAATTGCAGCCTCTGGGGCAACTTGGTGCCAGGCAGTATTATGATCAAGAGATGCAGTGGAAATTCCCCAGCCACCACTGCTCCATTCTTCATGGGAGCAAATTCCTCTCCATCCTTCTCATTTCTTCCTGATTGGCAGATGCTCCCCCACTTCCTTTGCAGCCAGAAGTAAATGCCTTCTGGCTCCCAATATCTCTTAAATTACATCACTACCACCACCATCATCATCGCCATCATTGCCATCACTATGGCAACTCTATTTATTCACCTCCTCTTGCCATGCCCTAGCCACCATGCGGAGCACTTGATGTGTATAACTCATTTACTTGTCGCAGGAATCCTGTGACTAGTCATGATCGTCTCCCACGGTATGGAGAAGGAAACTGGAGCACAGAGAGGTGAAATGACCTGCCCAAGGTCACACAGCAAGCAAGTGGCAGAGCCAGAATTTGTCCCTAAGACTGTTTGAGCCCAAAGCCAGCAGACTAAACTGCCTTTTAAAGTTTTTTTTGTTTTGTTTTGTTTGTTTTGAGATGGAGTCTCGCTCGGTCGCCCAAGCTGGAGTGCAGTGGTGCATCTCGGTTCACTGAAACCTCCGCCTCCTGGGTTCAGTGATTCTCCTGCCTCAGCCTCCCAAGTAGCTGGGATTATAGGCGCCCGCCACCACACCCAGCTAATTTCTGTATTTTTAGTAGAGATGGGGTTTCACCATGTTGGCAGGCTGGTCTTGAACTCCTAACCTCAGGTGATCCACCCGCCTCGGCCTCCCAAAGTGCTGGGATGACAGGCGTGAGCCGCCGCGCCCGGCCTGCCTCTCGGAGTTCTGTGCCACCTGCTGCCTCCCCACCTTCCTGGGTTATGCCATCTCTGAGCCAAGTGCAGAAGATTCAGCCAGAGACAAAAACGCTGACTCTCTGCAGACACCTCCTGAGACTGGTTCCTGGGTTCGGCCAGTCACTGTCATCTCAGGCATGCTTTGATCCACTATCCCAGACGGGAAGGTCTCTTGTTCTGCCTCGCTCTAGTCTTGTCTCGCTCTAGTCTAGGTCCTAGAAGTCTGAGTGAGTGAAGCCGAGGCTCTGAATCACAACCGTTTGGGATATCAAACTGGGGGGGGGCCCTCGGCCTGTCTGACATCCCTTAAGTTCTGGGATCACCTAAAATGGGCATTTATGGCACTCATCGAACTTGGCCCTGGAACTGAGTTCCTTCACCTCCAGCCTGAGAAGCTGCTTCCCCTTTGAGGAACCAGAATACTGCACCACCCTCTCTAGCCTGGAAGGGGCTTAGGAAGATGGAAGGGAGTCTCGGTCTGTAGCCCCATAGGGCTTTGGGGAGAGGAAGCAGGAGAGGACATGGTGGGCAGGGGCTTGTTCTGCGTCTCAGCCTGGAAGGACAGGCTGCCCCTAGGTTTTGGGATGTTCTCCTAGGCAGGGCCTTCTTTGCCTTGGAGGAATCTGGCTGCAAGTAGAATGCAGTAGGATGGAAGGATAGGGTGCGCAGACCTGCAGTTCTCAGACAAAGACGGCCCTCAGGGTTTCAGCTCCTGTCGCTCCTTGGGAAGGTCCTACTCTAGCCAAATCCCCCCACATTGAAGGAAGGTATGCCGGCTCCAGGCTGAAGGCAGAGTGCAGGAGCTGGATTCTGGAGGGGCACTGGGCGTCCCGGGAGGTCGGGGCGAACTGAATGTTGTGTCTGGATGCTGCTGTTGTCCTAAGGGGAAGGTCTGTGGGCAGTGCTGACTTTTTATAGCTGCATGGGAACCTTCAGGGCGGAGGACCGGCTGGTCAGGGCCTGGGAGCACAGCTATATTAGGTAAGCAGAGAAGGCCCCTGCCTTAGCCTCTAGAGGTCCGGCACTCTGGGCCAGGCAGGGAGCCAGGGAAGGCGGGAGGGAGGAAAAGAACTGGTGGATGGCAGAGAATATCTAGTCTTGAAATCACAAACTGGCTGGAATCCTACCTACAGCTGTGCCTTGTGTGGCCCACCCGGTGCTTTAAATCAGATCTGGTTACACTGGGCTGGAGTTAAGTAGTGCTACCTCTTCAGAGGGGGCACCATCTCAGGCTAGGTGCAGTGGCTGATGCCTGTAATCCCAGCACTTTGGGAGGCTGAAGCAGGAGGATCACCTGAGGTCAGGAGTTTGAGACCAGCCTGGCCAACATGGTGAAACCCCATCTCTACTGAAAATACAAAAAAAAAATAGCCATATGGTGGCGGGTGCCTGTAAACCTAGCTACTCGGGAGGCTGAGGCAGGAGAATCACTTGAATCTGGGAGTCAGAGGTTGCAGTGAGCCGAGATCACACCACTGCACTCCAGCCTGGGTGACAGAGTGCACTAGCCACCAAAAAAAAAAAAAAAAGGAGGGGGCACCGTCTCCACTTTGCCCCAGTCCCCCCCCTCACATCCTGCCTGCTTCATTTATGTCAGCAATGGCACCTGCGTGTGCAATCTCCGGTCTGGCAGACCAGCCAAGCCTGGTCTCCATGCTGCCAGCTCCGATTGCCCTCACAGCCTTCCAGCGGGGATCTGGCTGGGGTAGGGCAAGTCCGTTTGGGAGCTGGGAGGAATGACTTAGCCCTGGAGATTGATTGAACTGGGATGTTGGGAGCATTTTGGAAAAGGATGTTGTTTCACTAGGCTCTGAGTGAACACTTGCCATTGATGAGAATAGAAGCCCCCCGCTGCTCCTGTCTCTTCATGCACATGGGTGTGTGAGTCTGTGCATATGTGTGTGCCTATGTGTGTGTGTGTTTGTGCACGTGCGCATGTGCCACACAGAGGGCATCACATTCAGCTCTCGCCGGAACCACCATTTCCGTCAAGGATTGGAGACTCTGTCTGTTGGACCGATTTGATGCCTGTGCACGCTCAGGGCTCTCTGAACCCCACTCCTTGACTCTCAGGGTCCCCTCTTGCGGAAAGCCCCTCCCGGGACCAGGAGCCAGGCTGGGCAGGGAGGTGACAACCTGCCTCTCTTTTGCATTTGCTTGGTGTTGGCTGAAGATGTGCCAGGAGGAACAGACCAGCTACATGGTGGTTCAGACGAGCGAGGAGGGGCTGGCGGCCGACACCGAGCTCCCAGGACCGCTCCTGATGCTGGCCCAGAACTGCGCAGTCATGCACAACCTGCTGGGCCCTGCCTGCATTTTCCTGCGCAAGGGCTTCGCTGAGAACAGGCAGCCTGTACGTAAGTTGGCCCAGTGGAGCCCGCTGAACTCGGCTTCACAGGGCGTGAGGAGGTGCTGGGAAGAAGAAGGAGTCTATACAGAGCTCACACCCCCAACTTGTGAATCTGATCCCCAAAGTTTTCCACTCATGGCTACAAAGTGCTGGTGAGTCCATATCCACCAGCAGGATAATAATAATAAAAATAATATCAGATACATTGTTATGAGCACTTACTAGGTGAGCCCTGTGCCTAGTGTGTTGGCGGACTGCCTCATTTAAGCCTCAGAGCAACTCTAAGGGGTAGGTGCTTTTATCGTCCCCATTTTACAGATGAGAAAACTGACTTGGGCTGGGCACAGTGGCTCACACCTATAATCCCAGCACTTTGGGAGGCCTAGGTGGGTGGATCACTTGAGGTCAGGAGTTTGAGACCAGCCTGGCCAACATGGTGAAAGCCCATCTCTACTAAAATACAAAAATTAGCTGGGCGTGGTGGTTCATGCCTGTAATCCCAACTACTCGGGAGGCTGAGGCAGGAGAATCGCTTGAACCCAGGAGGCAGAGGTTGCAGTGAGCCAAGATCACGCCACTGCACTCCAGCCTGGGCAGCACAGTGAGACTCCATCAAAAAACAAAAGAAAGAAAGAGAAAGAAAACCGACTTGCAGAGGTCACATCCTCAAGGTAACAGCTTGGTGGTGGTAGAGGTAGGGTTCACACTTGGATAGTCTGACTCAAGAACCTCTTGTGCTCCTAACGACAACTCTGTATACGTGGCACTATCCGGTAGAACTTTCTACAATGATGGAAATATTCTAAATTCCGTGCTGTCTGATACAGTAGCCACTAGCCACATGTGGCTATTGACCACTTGAAATGTGGCTAGTGCAACTAAGGAACTGAATTATGGATTTTATGTTATTCTTACTCAAATTTACATAGCCACATGTGACTAGCGGCTACTGAATTGGCCAGCTTTCTACAAGTAGCTAAATAGTTCAAAGAGAGGAGAGGACTAATGAGGATGTTATAGAGGTAAATATTTGTAGGTTGCATTTATTGAATGCCACATGCTAAACATTTTAATAGCTTGTCTCACTGAATGCACACTAAGGCCCTGTGAAGTGGGAAATGGTATTAACCCATTTTACAGATGAGGAGACTGTGGCTCAAACAACAGAGTGACCTGCCTGAGGAAGCAGATCTGAGCTTCATACTCAGGTCTGTCTGCCTCTAGGGCCCAAGTGTGTCTCCCCAACCACATGAATTGGGGAGAAAGGCATGTTCCTGCACCGCATTCCCACCTGACCCTGAGTTGCTGCATGTGATCTTCCTGGCACATTAGTGGGCATCCCTGGCTCTACTCCAGGGCAGAGAACACACATTGCTACTGCTGTGCCCGGGGAGTGTGATCCGAGGACCAGCCATCAGTGCTCAGCAGACCGGCTCTGGTGGCGGGCACAGGCCGTGAAGGGGCACCCGGCTTTGGTGCCCCCTGGGCTCTGGGTGTACAGGAGGAACGGAAGGGGCTGCGATGGAGTCAGCAATGCCTGTTCCTCCTGAGTCCTGCAGAACTGGGCCCTGGAGAAGTGGGAGGCTGCTTAAAGCCTGATGCGTGGGGTCCTCGGGGGTGTGCTCTGCACGTCTGTGTACACACGTGCTTACTCGCTCGCTTTCACTGACTGCCGGGATGACCCGTTGCACAAAACATCCTTTTTGAATGGTTTTTCCAACACATATGGGTTTGTGCTGGAATGACTGCGACCTACCCTTGAGCCAGGCACCATGACCAGCTTTTTTTGTTTGTTTGTTTGTTTTTGAGACAGAGTCTGACTCTCTTGCCCAGGCTGAAGTTCAGTGGTACAATCTTGGCTCACTGCAATCTTCACCTCCCAGGCTCAAGTGATTCTCCTGCCTCAGCCTCCCGAGTAGCTGGGACAACAGGCATGCACCACCATGCTTGGCTAACTAAAACAGGTGTTTTTTTTTTTTTTGTAGAGATGAGGTCTCACTATATCGCCCAGGCTGGTCTCGAACTCCTGGTTTCAAGTGATCCTCTTGCCTTGGCCTCCCAAAGTGCTAGGATTACAGGCGTGGGCCACCATGTCTGGCCCATGGCGAACTTTATAGGCGAACGTCCATGCAGTCATCTCAGAGACACGCCTCCCTTCGGGTGACTCCTACCCCCGGCCTGGCGGAGCTGGGAGCTTGCAGTCTGCTCCCTCCAACGTCACACACACTCTCAACGCTGTCCTGCCACACAGAGCCACGTCTGAGCTCTTGGTCCTATGCACCTGGTTGTCCCATGAGATGTGACTCAGCAGCCCTTCCCTTTCTAGATGATCTGCAGATTTTCTGGTGTTGTCTTTTGTCCTGGGGCCAGTTTGGAGTGACTGTCTCCACCCACCCTGGCCCCGTTGGCTGGAACGGCCTGCATGCACAGTGGAGGTGCCACACGCTCACTATGGTATGCCTGCATGTCTGTGTTCACGAGAGGTATGCCCACAGCTGTGCGAGCCTCTTCAGGATGGGCACACCTGCCTGGTGTTCTCCCTGCCCAAAGGCAGAGAGCTGCAACACGGGGGAGGCTGGACGCTGAAGGCCACTTTTAGAGTGTACTAACCAGGTCCAGCTGGGCACCTGTACCCATTTCATGCCCGTCTGTCTCCCTCCTGGGCAGGCCTGGGACAACTGGCACCTCACCAACCTGAGCTTCCTCCAGGCCTGCTCCTCGGAGATGTCTCTGCCATCTGTTCTGACGCCTGGATTCGGGGTTGCCTTGATTGCGCAGGAGACCTGGGCACTACTTGAGGTTGGAGACATGTGCTTTTTGGACCCTGGCTGCAGCCAGAAGCACTGGTGGCCCCTGGGGTCCTATATGGTGTCCTGTGACAGGGCAACGTATAAGGATGGGGCTCAAATTGGAGAAGGTGGGGCTGTGCCTGCTTCCCAGGCACTGCCCCATTCTGCTGCCACGTCTCCTCCTGATTCCTCCCTGTCCTCCTACCCCCACTTCAGGATGGCCCTGCCTTCTCTCCCCTCCGGCGCCTCATCTGTTGTCTTGCAGCCTCTGTCGCCCTGCTCTTCCTGTTTCATTGGGTGGTGCTCTCTTCTCCCTGTTGTGGCCTCCCTGGACCCTGTTTTATTTGCAGGTTTTTGCCACCAGACCAACTCTGTTCCCTGACTCATTCTTTTTTTTTTTTTTTTTTTTTTTGAGACAGGGTCTCACTCTGTTGCCCAGGGTGACAGAGTGCCATGGTACCATCACAGCTCACTACAGCCTCAAACTCCTGCTCATCCATTCTTGTATCTGGAACAAGGGGCTGGAGGCGCAGAGGTTCTGTGCCCAGACTGGTGGGGCTGGTGGCTCCTTGGGAATCTCTTGTTAGCGGTCCAGGAGCTTCCATGTCTAAGCGAGATGTGGGGCTTTCTTTTCCCTTCAAGGATCCGATCCAGGCACACTTCTGCTGCATCCTCGTCACCTCCTACCCAGTGCCTGCTGCCAGTTGGATGGCCCCCAGGTTAGATATTTTGTGACTTCCAGGTCCCTTGTCGTGGCTAATAGGACATGTTCTTTTGTTTCAGGATAGATCACTGCGACCAGAGGAAATCGAAGGTAAAACTTGGCCCCTTGGGGGAAAGGACTGCCTAACCCTCCATGAAGGTGTGGGAAGGGAGGTTGATGGGAAGAGAGGCCCCCGGGAACGGGCTATCTTCTGTGAAACCAGCTGCTGAAGGTGTGCACAGAAGGCAAGAGAAATACCCCAGCATCCTGGGAAGCTCCTGGGCCCCTCTTTCCACGCTGGTGGGCCTTTGGGCTGCCTTTGCCCACAGAGGATCTGCAGGTCCTACCCCCAACGACATCCACCTTTGCTGACTTCCCCAGAGCTCCGAGAGGCCTTCAGAGAATTCGACAAGGACAAGGATGGCTACATCAACTGCCGGGACCTGGGCAACTGCATGCGCACCATGGGCTACATGCCCACTGAGATGGAGCTCATCGAACTGTCCCAGCAGATCAACATGAACCGTGAGTCCCTCTACCAGGCACCTGTGTCCCTTCCGGTCCTCACCCTTGCTGTCCTCTGCAGTCAGACAGGACTGGCTTCAAATTCTGCATCCACCTCTTTCCAGCTCTGTGATCTGGGGCCAACGACTTACCCTCTCTGAACCTCAGTTTCCTCACCTGTAAAATGAGGGCCGAATTGGAGGAGTGGAGCCCAGAAAGTAGATTAGGGAATATCTGTAAAACAGCCCAATAACTGGCTCACAGGAAGAACTGAACAGAGGGCTCCTGTTATTATTAAGTTTTTCTCTGTCTGATGAGCAGTTCAAGGAGGGGTTGCCCATTCTGTCAGTTGTCTACTTGGAGACAGGGAATGGGTATTATCGGGGATGACCTAGCCCTTTCCTCTTTTTCCAGTGGGTGGCCACGTAGATTTTGATGACTTCGTGGAGCTAATGGGGCCTAAACTCCTGGCAGAGACAGCAGATATGATTGGTGTAAAGGAACTGCGAGATGCTTTCCGAGAGGTAACGGGCAGAGGCAGGCAGGCATGGGGGCAGCTATTGGAATCCTATCTGCAGGATAAATGCTTCAAAAGAAGCCTGAGCCCCAAGTCCCAGATCAGGGGAGGGAGCTTGGGCAGAGAAAGGTCTCTGGTAAAGGGGGAAATGACACTGGAGAAGGAGCTCAATTTTGGGACCTGATGCTGCCAATCGCCATGTTGGGGCAACCTCTCCTTCCTTCCTGCCTTCTCTAGTTTGACACCAATGGTGATGGGGAAATAAGCACCAGTGAGTTGCGAGAGGCTATGAGGAAGCTCCTGGGCCATCAGGTGGGACACCGAGACATAGAGGAAATTATCCGAGATGTGGACCTCAATGGGGATGGACGAGTGGACTTTGAAGGTAGGTGGGGCTTGAAAGTGGGAGAGAAGCAAGCCAGCAGTGGCCATCCATGGAGCCCTCCGATTGTGTATCCATCATGTAACCTATCAATCCACTCTAACTTTCCAACCCCCAGCCCTTTCATCCTCCTATCCCTCCACCCACGCCCCCCTCTAATCCACCTCCCATTCCTTCCCCATGCATCTCTTCATGCATCTATCCATCCATCCTCTATCCATCCTCTACCTTTCCATCCATCTGTCCATTTATCCATCCATCCATTCATCTACCTATCTGTCCATCATCCATCCATCCATTTATCCATTCATCCATCCATTCATCCATCCATCCATCTACCCATCCATCCATCCATTTGTCTACGTATCTATCCATCTGTCCATCCATCCATCCATCCATCCATCCATCCATCCATCCATCTATCCATCCATCTGTCCATCCATCCATCCATCCATCCATCCATCCATCCATCTATCCATCCATCTGTCCATCCATTCATCTACCTATTCATCTATCTGTCCATCTTTTCGTATCTGTCTCTCTGTCGCTCCATCTTTTCTTTTTTTTGTTTTTTTTGAGACAGAGTCTTGCTCTGTCACCAGGCTGGAGTGCAGTGGCACCATCTTGGCTCACTGCAACTTCTGCCTCCTGGGTTCAAGCAATTCTCCTGCCTCAGCATCCCAAGTAGCTGGGACTACAGGTGCATGCCGCCATGCCCGGCTAATTTTTGTTTTTAATTTTTTTGTATTTTAGTAGAGGCGGGGTTTCACCATGTTGCCCAGGCTGGTCTCGAACTCCTGAGCTCAAGCAATTCACCCGCCTCGGCCTCCCAAAGTGCTAGGATTATAGGCATAAGCCACCGTGCCCAGCCCTATCTCTCCATCTTTTCATCTGTTTATCTTCTTATCTGTCCAGATGCCTATTTATCCATTCCTCCATCTCTAAACAATCATTCCTGTAGCCATTTATCCATGCATTTATCTGTCCATTCATGCATCTATTAATTCTTCTCTACATTCATCCATGAATCTATCCACATATTCATCTACTCATATCGATCTCTCTATGCATTCGTACTTCCATGCTTCCATTCACACATTCACGTGCATATACTTCTACCCATACTTGCATTGATCTATGCATCTATCTGTTCTGTCATTTCCCCATCTATATCCAGCTACTCATCCATTCACCCATCCCTGTGTCCATCTGCACCCATCCTTCTCTGTCCATTTGTCTGTCTACCCACTCATGCATCCATCCACAGTAGGTGTTTTCTGAACATTATGTTCCTCAACTTAACACTCAGGCTCCCTAAAATCTGACCACAGCTCACCTCCCCAGCCGCAACTCACAGTCCTTCATTCGCACTCCACCAAAATACCTGTGACCAGTGAACCTGCTAGGGTCTCTCTTGAATACTCTGATTTTTTTGCCAGGAGGGCCTTTTTTTTTTTTTTTTTTTTAGACAGAGTCTCACTCTGTTGCCCAGGCTGGAATGCAGTGGCAGGATGGTGGCTCACTGCAAACTGCATCTCCCGGATTCAAGTGATTCTCCTGCTTCAACCTCCCAAGTAACTGGGATTACAGGCTCCCACCACCATGCCCAGCTAATTTTTGTATTTTTAGTTGAGACGGGGTGTCACCGTGTTGACCAGGCTAGTCTTGAACTCCTGACCCCAAGTGATCCACCCGCCTCAACCTCCCAAAGTGCTGGGATTACAGGCATGAGCCACTGTGCCTGGCCACCAGGAGGGCTTTTATCCTATTCTTCACCTGGGCTAAGTTCTGTTAGCCCAAGGGACATTCTTCATGACCCGACAGTGGGACTCCTTCCTCTAGCACCTTCCCTGGTTCCTCAAACTGAACTTCCTCTTTTCCGGGTTTTCACAGCACTTCAGACTCACCTGTTCTTCACACTGACCCCTAACTGCTGGTTAGAGTTGTCTTCCCAATTGACTCTGAACCTTGAAAGAAGAACCCTATTTTTTAAATATCTGCATTTCCTGCGTAACACAGCTAGTGTTCAGTAAAAGCTTATTTATTTATTTATTATTTTAAGACAGGTCTTGCTCTGTCACCCAGGCTGGAGTGCAGTGGCATAATCGCGGCTCACTGCAATCTCTGCCTCCCGGGTTCAAGTGATTTTGTGCCTCAGCCTCCCGAGTAGCTGGGACTATAGGTGCCCACCACCATGCTCGGCTAATTTTTTGTATTTTTAGTAGAGACAGGGTTTCACCATGTTGGCCAGGCTGGTCTCGAACTCCTGGCCTCAAGTGATCCACCCGCCTTGCCCTCCCAAAGTGCTGGGATTATAGGCATGAGGCACAGCACCCAGCCTCAAAGGCTTTCTTTTTAAAGAATCAATAATAATCATAATAGTTATCATTTACTGTACACTTATGTGCAGTCATTGTACTAAGTAGCTTTACACATACTATTACATTTAATTATCACAGTGACCCTATGGGTTGCATTATTATAACCTCGCATTACAGATGAGGAAACTGAGGCTCAGAGAAGTAATAGAACTAGCTCAAGATTGCCCGCCTATTAAGAGGCAGAGCTGGGGCACAGCCCCAGGCCTGAAATCACAGCAGAATGCAGTCTTGTGCATGACACCATGCGAGGCACTAGGGGATACAGGGAAAGGGTAAAATGTTGACTCTGCGCGCCAGGAACTTGCATGCTGAGCAGAAAGACAAGAGAAGCATGTGCCAGAGATTGTGAGTGTCCAGAACACAAAGGTTGGGAGGTTTTCTCTCAGGAGCAGTCAGCCTTCAAGGCCGGGGAGCGTGGATAGTTGGATAGAAGGCCTTATTGTCACCAGATCTGAAAATCTCAGGTCTCCCTGTATCCAGGTAGTGCCCACCACAGATGATAGCCTTGCTCTTGAAAGCCTGGCATCCCCCATTCATCCTACGAAGATGCATTGTCAATCTGCTGTGTGCTAAGATCTGGTCTCTGCCTCGAAGCACCCAAGCCCAGCAAGAAAACCAGAGAAAACCATAGCATAATCCATGTGTGCTGGGGGAAACACAGGGGGCTGCGACAGAGGGGGCACCTGTGCCAGGCTGCAGAGAGGGATTAGGGAAGACTTCCTGGAGGAGGTTATAAACAATCAGAGCCCCCCAAAATGAGAAGAGCCATCAGGTGAGAGGGAAGGGCAGGTATTTACCCAAATGAGTTGAAAACCTATATCCACACAAGTCTGTACGTAGATGCTTATAGCAGCTTTATTCATAATTGTCCAAACTTGGAAACAACCAAGGTGTCCTTTCAGTAAGTGACGGATAAACTGTGGTACATCCAGACAATGGGATATTGCTCAGTGCTAAAAAGAGATGAGCTAGGCTGGGTGCGGTGGCTCATGCCTGGAATCTCAGCACTATGGGAGGCCAAGGCGGGCAGATCACTTGATGCCAGGAGTTTGAGACCAGCCTGACCAACATGGTGAAACCCTGTCTCTATTAAAAATACAAAAAAATTAGCTGGGTGTGGTGGCACGCACCTGTAATCCCAGCTGCTTGGGAGGCTGAGACACAGAATCACTTGAACCTGGGACGCAGAGGTTATAGTAAGCTGAGATGGCACCACTGCACTCCAGCCTGGGCGACAGAGCAAGGCTCTGTCTCAAAAAAAAAAAAAAAAAAAGAGAGAGAGAGAGAGAGATGAGCTATCTAGCCATGAAAAGACGTGGTGAAGAGGGGACACAAATGCATATTACTAAGTGAAAAACCAATCTGAAAACACTGCATACTATATGATTTCGTCTATATGACGTTCTGGAAAAGGCAAAACTATGGAGTCAGTAAAAAGATCAGTGGTTGCAAGGGGTTACAGGGAGGGAGGGATGAATAGGCAGAGCAGAGAGGATTTTTAGGGCAGTGAAACTATTCTGTATGAGGCCAGGTACAGTGGCTCATGCCTGTAATCCTAGCATTTTGGGAGGCCGAGGCAGGAGGATCACTTGAGGTCAGGAGTTTGAGACCAGCTTGGGCAACATGGCAAAACCCTGTCTCTACTAAATACACAAAAACAAAATTAGCCAAGTGTGGTGGCGTATGCCTGTAGTCCCAGCTACCTGGAGAGTTGAGGCGGCAGGATTGCTTGAGCCTGGGAGGTCGAGGCTATAGTGAGCCGAGATTGTGCCACTGTACTTCAGCCTGGGTGACAAAGTGAGACCCTGTCTCAAAAATAAATAAAAAGAAAAAGAAACGATTCTGTAAGATACAACAGCAGAGGATGCATGTCATTATACGTTTGTCCGAACTCATAGAATGTGCATCGCCAGCAGTGAACCCTGATGTAAACTGTGGTCTCCGGGTGATAGCGATGTGTGGGCGTAGGTCGCTCAGTTATAACAAATGCACCCTCTGTGTGGAATGTGGTCGGGGTGGGAGGCTATGCATATGTGGCGACAGGGGTTGCAGACAAAAATCTCCATACTTTCTACTCCATTTGGCTGTAAACCTAAAATTGCCCTTAAAAAGAGAGGCAGGCGCGGTGGCTCACGCCTGTAATCCCAGCACTTTGGGAGGCCGAGGCGGGCGGATCACGAGGTCAGGAGATCGAGACCATCCTGGCTAACACGGTGAAACCCCGTCTCTACTAAAAACACAAAAAATTAGCCGGGCATGGTGGCGGGCGCCTGTAGTCCCAGCTACTCGGCAGGCTGAGGCAGGAGAATGGCGTGAACCCAGAAGGCGGAGCTGGCAGTGAGCTGAGATCGCGCCACTGCACTCCAACCTGGGCAACAGAGTGAGACTCCGTCTCAAAAAAAAAAAAAAAAAGAGAGAGAGAGAGAGAGAGAGAGAAGGGGCTGGGCACGGTGGCCACACCTGTCATCCCAGCACTTTGGGAGGCCAAGGCAGGAGGATTTCTAGAGCCCTGGAGTTTGACGTTAGTGAGCTATAATCATGCCACTGCGCTCCAGCCTGGGCGACAGGCGAGACTCTGTCTCTACATTAAAAAAAAAAAAAAGAAGAAGAAGAAGGGAGGGGGTACAAGTTGGGCTTTCAGAAAAGCTGAGAGGAGACCAGCCTGGCCAACATGGTGAAACCCTGTCTCTACTAAAAGTACAAAAATTAGCCCAATGTGGTAGTGCACAGCTGTAGTCCCAGCTACTCCGGAGGCTGAGGCAGGAGCATCGCTTGAACCCAGGAGGTGGAGGCTTCAGTGAGCTGAGATTGCATCACTGCACTCCAGCCTGGGTGACAGAGTGAGACTCCATCTCAAAAAAAAAAAAAAAAAAAAAAAAAAAAAAAATGCTGAGAGGTGAGAGAGAGAGAGAGAGAGGGAGAGAGAGCGAGCCAGCTGCATTGAGGGGCCAAAAAGATCTGCGTAGTTGGAGCACATAGGTTGGGAGTTAGCCTGAGAGAGATGGCTGGAGATGTCAGCTAGGGCCAGATCAGGGAGGGCCCTGAGGCTGTCAGGAGATTGGAGATTTTCCAGTGGAGAGCCGTGGGACGTTTACGCAGGGGTCAGATCCGCAGATTCGAACCCTCTAGCTGGCTGCTGTGTGGATGGATTGGAGGGGGCGGAATGGATGGGGGACCAGCACAGAGTTGGGGCAGTGGCAATGGGGAGGGGTCTGAAGGCAGCACCCTGGGGAGGCCTTTGGCTGCCGCTTGCTCCCCAGCTGCTCCTCTACCCTTCCAGAGTTTGTCCGGATGATGTCCCGCTGAGGCCGCGGGGGCCCCTCCAGGACTGCCAAGCTCCCAATGGCGGGGCGAAGAGGAGCCAGAGCTTGCCTCACCCGCCGTAGCCGCCGAGAGCCCAGGATGTATTGGCGGATGGGGCCTGCCTGCACCCCGGGGAGGCGCCCACCCCGGACCCCCACCCCTCCGCACTGTGAAAGACTCACTCCTGCAACTGGAAAGCGGGGGCGCCCGCCGACGAGGAGGCCACCGTGCCAAGCCGGCAGAGGTCATGCCAGGCGCCAAGGGCCATGTGCCCAGCTGCTGCTGGCTGGGTGGGCCAGGGAGCCCGCCAGCAGATCCCACACAGCATGTCCGCCCCAGGGCAAAGCCTCCCACCTTCGCTCTGCGCCCCTCCCAGCTCGCCTCAGCCCTGTTATCTCAGAACCAATAAAAATATTTCCAAGAGCAAGACGGCCGTGATGGTCTTTCCTCCTTGGGCCTGGTTAGATGACCCTCATGTTTCCTGAGCACCAACTGCATACCCAGAACCAGCTGTCCTGAGCACCAACTGCATACCCAGAACCAGCTGAGCATTTCTGCATTTGGCATTTTTTATTTGTTTATTTATTTCAAAACGAAGTCAGATGAGGGTTCTTTTGACCTTCCTATGTTTTCTGTTTTGAGACAGGGTTTAGCTCTGTCACCTGGGCTGGAGTGCAGTGGCATGATCTCGGCTCACTGTAACCTCCACTTCCCAGGTTCAAGCAATTCTCCTGCCTCAGCCTCCCAAGCAGCTGGGATTACAGGCGCCCGCCACCATGCCTGGCTAATTTTTGTATTTTTAGTAGAAATGGGGTTTCACCATGTTGGGCAGGCTGGTCTCAAACTCCTGACCTCAAGTGATCTGCCCTCCTGGGCCTCCCAAAGTGCTGGGATTCCAGGCATGAGCCTCCTTGCCTGGTCAACATACATTTATTGAGTACCTATTATGTACTCGGTGACTTCCATTCTCATCCGTTGGCCAGAACCTGGGACTGCTAAGGGAGACTGAAGAATGTAGTCAGTTATTTAGCTGGGTACTCAGCTTCCCCAAACAAAATCAGGTTCTATAAGAAGAGAAGCATCCAGCAGGGTCTGTATCACTTCTGACTTTCTGGAACTTCCATACTGGTTGGAGAGACAGACATGAGAGAAACACATCATATAGGATTACAAATTGGGATACTGCTATTAAGTAAAAATACAGGGACCTTTGGCAGGCCTGGCCTCCTCTAGGGAGGTCAGAAAAGGCTTGGCTAAGGAAGTGAAGACACGGGTTTTGCCCTGGAGGAAATCCCAGTGTGTGCGGACAGACAGATATAGATACAGCTACCATTGTCCAGGCACGGTGGCTCACGCCTGTAATCCCAGAACTTTGGGAGGCTGAGGCGGGAGGATCACTTGAGTTCAGGAGTTCAAGACCAACCCGGCCAAATGGTAAAACCGTGTCTCTACAAAATAGAAAAATTAGCCGGGCGTGGTGGCACGTGCCTGGAGTCCCAGCTACTTGGGAGGCTGAGTCAGGAGAATCGCTTGAACCCAGGAGGTGGAGGCTGCAGTGAGCCAAGATCATGCCAGTGGGTGACAGAGCGAGACTCTGTCTAAAAAAAGAAAGAAAGAGCTGCCACCCTCTCTGCTGCGTGGGAAGATGTGTAGCCGATAGGCCCAGGGTTTGCTTGCTGTGTGACTTAGGGCCGGTCGCATCTCCTCTCTGAACCTCAGTTTCCTTATGTGTAATGTGGAGATGATAAAGGATGGGGTCAGTGCATAGCAAATGCCCTCAGGGCATTGCATGGCATCGCACACCCCAGGAACTGCTATTCAGACTACAGTGGAATCATGCCATTGAAAAGACCCCTTGTAATTCATTTCTATAAGCGAAGTCTTAAAGGAGCCCAAAGGAGAAATTTGTGGTTAGAAGTTGTTCAGAGTCTTAGGTTTGGGGCACACTTGGGCAGGTGTGTGGGGTGGCCGGTGTACTCAAGCCATTGGTTCCCAAACCTTAGCATACAGCAGAATCGCCTGGAGCATTTGTGAAGCCCAGATCTGGGCCACCCCCGCAGTGATTCTGATCCTATGTCTGGGGTGCGGTCCATGAATGTGCATTTCTTACAAGTTCCCAGAGGATGCTGATGCTGCCAGTCCGTGGACAACAAGCTGAACAGCACTGCTGTAAATCCTAGACACAAGGGAGGCTGGTGTGCCTCCAGGCAGCCAGGGGAGGCTGCGGGGCTGACGGCTGGGGGTGGGAGGTGGGCAGAGCATCTCCTGCCCCCTGTGCTGCCGCAGAGGGACGATGCGTATTCTCAGACCTGGCAGGGAATGTGGAGGATCGTGGGCCCCAGTCAGAGGCCCGGGTAATCCTCATGTCCCCGAGGTCAGTGGGGCTCGGAGCTTCAAATTCACTTTAATAATCCAATTCTGAGACTAAGCCCTTGGCTCTGTGCCCTGCTAGGCAGGCCTGCAGCCCTGCCTGCCTCTGTACTAGCTTGGCTCTGACCAGAGACTCCAGAGTTTCACTGTTTCAGAAACACAGTGGACTTGTAGGGCAATTTGCAGGAAGAGGGCTTCTGTAGACATCTCTATCAGCTGGCAGGGTGAGCCCCCAGGAGCACCACTCAGGATAGACTTAGGGATAAACTAGGACTCCTTTGTCCCCACTGTGTGGCTGCCTAAAATCAAAGACGTGGGAAGCCTGGTCAACATGGTGAAACCCCGTTGGTACTAAAAATACAAAAATTAGCCAGGCGTAGTGGTGCCTGACTGTAATCTCAGCTATTAGGGAGTTTAAGGCAAGAGAATTGCTTGAACACAGGACGCAGAGGTTGCAGTGAACCGAGATCCCACCACTTCACCCTAGCCTGGGCAACACAGTGAGACTCTGTCTAAAAAATAATAATAAAATCATAGATATGCCAGTTGTGATGAAGGAAGTGGAGAATGTAGCCAGGCTGCTGTCCAGAGGCCCCTTCACGCTCAGGGTAGGGGGGCCCAGGGCAGGCCTCCTGCCTTCTCCCATGCTGAAGCCAGGACTCCTCCCCATTAATTTGTCTTTTTGTTGGTTTGTTAATTTTAAAATTATTTTTGTTTGCTTTTGTTTTTTGTTTTGGCTCCTGCCAGAAAATGATCTTTTGTTTGTTTGTTTGTTTGTTTGCTTTGCTTTGTTTCTTTGTTTATTTGAGAGACAGGGTTTCACTCTGGCATCTAGGCTGGAGTACAGTGGTGGGATCATAGCTCACTGCAGGCTTGAACTCCTTGGCTCAAGCGATCCTCCTGCCACAGCCTCCTGCATAACTAGGACTACAGAGACACACCAGCTGATTTTTACATTTTTTTGTAGAGACAGGATCTCAGTCTCTTGTCCAGGCTGGTCTTGAACTCCTGGCCTCAACGGATCCTTCCACCTCAGCTTCCCAAAGTGGTGGGATTACAGGTGTGAGCCACAGTGCCCAGCAACTTGTCTTATATGTGGGGGTTCCTAGCATGATTGTTTGAAGAAAGGGCTCTGAGACTTTTCCAGGACTGAGACGTACTTTCCTAGGCAGGAGTTCTTTCTGCAACCTGCACCACCACCTTCCCTGGAGGGAGCTCTGCGTGTGTCATCTTAGAAAAGCTCTTTGTCTAAGGCCGAGCGAGGTGGCTCACGCCTGTAATCCCAGCACTTTGGGAGGCCGAGGTGGGTGGATCACTTGAGGTCAGGAGTTCGAGACCATCCTGGCCAACATGGTGAAACTCCTCTACTAAAAATGCAAAAATTAGCCAGATGTGGCGGTGCATGCCTGTGATCCCAGCTACACAGGAGACTGAGGGACGAGAATCACTTGAACCCAGGAGGCAGAGGTTGCAGTGAGCAGAGATTGCACCACTGCAGTCAGCCTGGGTGACAGAGTGAGATTTTGTCTCAAAACAAAAACCAAAAAAACCAGCTCTTCCATTGTGCCTGGGTTTGCCTCCTGGGTTTGCCTCCTGCTGACTCATAAAGGCCAATTTGTCTGCTCGTTCATGCACACATGCACTTGATGTTTATTGAGCTCCTACTGTGTGCCAGGCCCCATGCAAGACTTCTTATCCTCAAGGAGTTCAGACTCTAGCAGGGGAAATAGATCAGAAACCAGACAAATATAATCTAGTGGCCTAAGTGCTACTTATTAGTAGTACCCACTAGGTTAGCCTAGAGCCCCGGAGGTACATAAAAGGCACCCAATTCAATCTGGTGCCTGGTGTGGGGAGGAATGGACAGATCTACTAGGACCTCAAGGATCAGCAGTGCTTAGTTAGGAGAGGTGGGCAGGTGGGGTGGGCATGGTGGCTCACGCCTGTAGTCCCAGCACTTCGGGAGGCCAAGGTGGGCGGATCACTTGAGGTCAGGAGTTCGAGACCAGCCTGGCCAAATGGTGAAACACCATCTCTACTAAAAATACAAAAATTAGCCAGGCATGGTGGTGTGCGCCTGCATTCCCAGCTACTCGGTAGGCTGAGGCAGGAGAATCACTTGAACCCGGGAGGCAGAGGTTGCAGTGAGCCGAGATTGCGCCACTGCACTCCAGCCTGGGAAACAGAACAAGACTCTGTCTCAAAAAAAAAAAAAAAAAAATGAAGAAGTAGTGGTCAGGGGCACAATTTCTGGTCTGGGAACAGCATATGCAAAGGCCCTGAGGTAAGGGAGAGTGTGGCCCTTTTGGGAAACTAAGTGGAATTTTGTCTAACTGATGTACTAGGTTGGAGAAAGGAGCAGAGAGAGGTGACGCTCAACAGAGAGGCAGGACCCCATCCCTCCACAGACCTTGGAGTGTGAGAGGCTCAGATGGGAACTCTGAGGGGCTGCCTTCTGGCATTAGCCAGGCCCACGGCCACAGAAGCGCTGGAGCTATGAAGGGCTCATCTTTGGGGACAAATCTGTCCAGAAGATAGAAGAAAACCCAGGCAGCTGGGGGTAGCCGGGAGGTGTCCCCATAGCAGTGTGGTTAAAAGCATTAGCTCCGATCAAAAAGCAGAGCCAGGCTGGGTGCAGTGGATTGCGCCTGTAATCCCAGTGCTTTAGGAGGCTGTGGTGGGAGGATCACTCGAAGCCAGGGGTTCAAGACCAGCTTGGGCAACGTAGTGAGACCTCATCTCCACAAACAATTTTAAAAATTAGCCAGGTGTGGTCGCATGTACCTATAGTCCCAGCTACTTGGGAGGCTGAGGTGGGAGAACTGCTTGAGCCCAGGAGTTCGAGTCTGCAGTGAGCTATGATCATGCCACTGTAGTCGCCACTGTAGTCCAGCCTGGACAACTGAGCAAGACTCCATCTCAAAAACAAACAAACAAAAATACCAGAAAGCCAGACATTAGATACCACAGATGAGAGAACACACCACCAACCCCTGGGGTTGCTGAAGGGATCAAATCTGAATCTGATCATGCCTTGAGATCCAGCTGACAATTTGC